ATGGACGCGAACTGGCCGCTATGGCGTATTGCTTACAGAGCTGGCAACACTATGTGGAGGGCTGTCTTGGCGGGTTGGTCATTCTGACAGACCACCAAACATTAAACCACACTATGGACCAGCTAGTGCTTACCCGGGTGCAAACTAGATGGATGAGATTGGGGTTGTTCCAGTCGATCAACCCCATAATCAAGTACCATCCTGGGAAAGCAAACATTATCGCTGATGCTCTGAGTAGGAGTCAGAGGAGTATAGTGGAACCGGCAGGATAAGAGACAGAGAATATTGGTTCCCTCTTTAACTTGACAACTCACATGGAGATGGATCAGGAGGAGAGCCACAAATGGGTCAAAGCATATGAAGCAGATCCACATCTGGGGACAGTGTTGAGCACTTTACGGCAAAGTCAGAGAGCAGATGACTACTTGTTGATACCCAGTGGATTGATCGGGATAAAGAAACATGGTCAAGTGAAGATCGTTGTACCCACATCTTTGCGTCAAAACATACTAAGGGGATGCCACGATAGTCCAACTGCCAAACACGTGGGCATACGCAGGATGTTGGAACAAGTGGACAGGCAATTCCATTGGCATGGACTCAGAGGAGATGTTATTTCATACGTCAGGAGCTGTCCGACCTGTCAGCAGATGAAGTCAGCTAACAAGGTCAAAGTCTATCTTCTGCAGCCCTTAGAAATTCCCTCAAGGAAATGGGCTTAGGTGACAACCGATCTGGTTACTGACATACCAGAATTGGACGGCTATACTGCTATAGCAGTATTTGTGGACCGTTACACCAAAATGGTTCACTTTGCCCCATGCAGGAAAGAAGTAACAGCCATTGAATATGCCCGGTTGTTTGTTGACCATGTTTAAAACATTTGTTGATGGAAAATTTCCGTCTACACGGTCTACCGGAAGTTATAATATCTGACCGAGGTCCAAGGTTTACCAGTAAATTCTGGAAAGGTCTGTTTGATCTACTGGGTACTGATCTCCGGTTCAGTACAGCGTTTTCATTCTCAGACGGATGGCCAGAGTGAGAGAGCCATACAAATGTTGGAAAACTTCCTACGACCGTATGTTGAACGAGATCCGCAACACTGGGTGAAGCAATTGCCGTTAACGGAATTCGCCGCAAACAACGCTGAAAATGTGGCCACGGGTTATTCGCCGTTTTTCCTTAACTCGGGAGACCATCCAATTTTGCCTACATTGATATTGCAAGGACATGGAACCTCCCGAGTAGAAGCTGTACAACATATGGTGGAACGGATGAAGACTGCTCTGGAGGAAGCACAAACCAACCTTGCCCACGCATAACGCCGTGCTCAGTATCAGGCGAATAAGTTGCATCGAGATGAGAGTTACAAGGTTGGTGATGAGGTATTACTGGCAACGCAAAATCTGAGTATCGACCAGCATCTTCCGTCAATGATTAATTAGACGACGCTGGGTCGGTCCCTTTTCGGTTGTCAGGGTGATTTCTTCAGTGGCTTATGAGTTGCGTCTTCCCTCAGGTTGGAAGATTCATCCAGTCTTCCATGTCTCCAATTTGCGGCGGCATGTCCATTCAGAGAGGTTCGCACGGGTGGAGAAGCCACCTCCCCCGATATTGGTTGACGGAGAGGAGGAGTATGAGGTGGGGGCGATTCTGAGGCATAAGGACACAGGAGCCCGGCGCCTCTATCAGGTCCTCTGGAAAGGTCATCCAGTGACTGAGGCTTCCTGGGAACCTGAATTGTATCTCCATAATGCTTCCTCCCTCCTAGAGGATTACCTGCGCCGGGTCGCTGCATCTGAGCCAAAGCGATCCCGGAAAACGAAAGGAAAACAGAACAAGTGATGGTGTCACCGGGGAATTCCGAGTGCCGGTCATTGATGCGGTGGGATGGTCACAGTTGGTGATGGGGTCTTACGTCTCGGGGGTAATCGTGTTCAGCACGCCGAACCGGACTTGGATCTACAGATTGCAACTAAGCCACCGTACCGGCCATACGTAAGCACATTGTTGGTGCCGGGGACCTTGTTTCTGTTTGGCCTTTGTATATTAAGGGTTTCGTCGGGTTTTTTTACTTCACTTGCTCCATGTCTCGGGACACCCACTTTCTTATAGGGGAAAGTGATGTTGTGAATTCTGGTGGATCCAGTCTTACTGGTGAATTCACTTCATTATGTTGCATTGAGATGTTGGGGTGAGAACGGGTTTCCTAGATACACTAGGGGATAGTGTGTCTATAATTTGATTAGCTGCCGTTTTGGTGAATGAACACCTGACTGTAATTGTGGTACACGCTTCCAATTGTAAGATTCTGATTGACGTTCCCCGCTCGCTCTCTGCGCGCCCCTCGTGGGCAGGTCCTGGGGTGCACCCAATAGGGTGCGCAATACTAATAGTCGTTGAATATGATCACATAAGACACAATCCGAAATACCATAGCACGTTCAACCCTTCCGCATCAAAACCTTTACTGTTACGACTTTTGCTCCGCATTGGTCATGCACACCATTATTTAATGCATTTTAAGCTGCCCCGCAACAATTTTTATAGGGAAAATGACAAAATGGGGTCCTCTGTGAGATATCTTGACAAAAGGGGTCCTCTGCGGGGGTGCGTTTGACAAAAGGGCGTCCTCAGACCGCCCTCCATATATTAGATATGTTTCCAGGCCGGCGCCAGACCGTCGCCGATCGGCAAGCCAGTCCTACTAGGGGCGAACCTGCACAGAACCCCCTTTTGTCAAATGCACCCCTGCAGAGGAACCCCTTTTGTCAATTTCCCTCTTGGGGGTCTTGTAGGGGTTTGTACAAATAAGAAAGCGCTATATATGTTATTGTTTTCTCAGCAAAAAAGGCCAAGCGTCACGTTACTACATGGAATGGTCGAATATACTACAGTACCGCATGTCGGCGCATTGATCGCGACGTACGCCCTGACACCATTCACACACACCTGCGAACTGAAGGCTCGCGGTAGTCGCCCAATACGCCACGCACCGCACGCACCCTATGCACGAGCATTAACCCTGTGGCACATCCCATTCCCCTGTTAAAGTTTCGCATCTTTGAATTGGCCCAAAGGAGAACACCCAGCGCAAAACCCAATGGAGTGCAATGGAGGTCGCCTTTTTACACCCTTGCCGATTGGCGAAACTTAACCGCGCTTGAGCTTGCAAGTGAGGGCGTCCATCCACCGAAGCGCGAAGTCGCCTGTATGGCGCCATCACAGTCCATCTTGCGAGTGTGCATGTCGGATGTGTTCAGATCGCCTCGACGGCATCGGCACCCAAGTCCAGCTTCCCTGCCGCCCGGCGCGCTCCCAGCGTTCCAATGCCCGAAAACTTTGGCCCGGGACGGAAAGGTGTAACTGTGCGTGTGTACATGCACAACCCTTGCGGTGCTCAAGCACTGAATTGACGGCACACTTGCCTGAATGGGTGTGGAACATGGAACTCAACTGACAACTCCAAAACCTGCGAGACGCGGGGCACCATCCCTCCATCGCCCCGGGACATTCGCTGCCGACCGGGGCGAGCGCTGGATCGCCATGGATCCTCACACGTGCGATTGGCTGGCGCGGATTGACGCGAATGCGACAGAGTGAGGGGATTTCTCATGCGCACAGCCACTGCCGGGCATGCCGGCGCGTGCGTCGCGCTTTCACGTGGTCGCGCCGCTCGGTGAGGGCGGGGGCGACGGGGGCGCTGCTCTGCGGGAGGCCGTGTGGGCCGCTGACTCGCGCGGTGCTGGGCCGGCGTGGAGGGATGCGTCGCGAGGCGCCTTCGGCGCTCTGGAGCTCGATCGTGGCGCCCCACCTGCGGCAAAAGACATGAGCAACATGACACAGCAGCGCACGCATTTCGTAATATAAAACGTTCAATTCTTCTGCATCAAAAAGGTTTTAACGCCACGCTTTTTGCTTCCCACTTTGTTCTTCAGAGCGTTATTTGCTTTTGTTCTGTTGCTGCGCGCAAATTCTATGAAGTGCTGTACGCAGAAGAAGGCCAAGGATTACGTTGCTATGCGGAAGGATTTAGTTTTTTGGGTATTGGCTGCTGGAGTGCTTGAGATGTGCCAATATTTCGCACATGCAAAATGGCATCTGATGCGTGTATGGAGCATCCAAACATGGCGTGGTAATGGCGGCACGGTCCGCTGGCACAATCTGTGCAAATGGATTGTGTTGCCGCACTGTCACATTGATAGTATTTAGTTGTTTAGTGCAGAACAAATTAGGCATGCACACTACCGCCAATAGCCTCCTCCAAGAACTGCCTTTGAATGTAACAAGTGTATCGAAGTACAGTAGTGGCACCGATGTGGTGATCTGGCTGTAGCGCATTCTGACAATTTTTGCTGCCGGAAACTAGTTCACAGCATATTTGTGAAGGGTGCAATTTGGTCGAAGGACATTGCATAGGTATACTCGCGCAATTCTTGGTAGCATAGGAGTTCGGACGTTCCATTTTCTTGGGGCGCAAACACAACAGTTTGGACATGCTGTCACATCATGCATTTCATTTTCAGCAGATGGGAGGACGTCAGACAACAGGACATATCTTTGACGTCACATCACCACCAGCGGTTTCCTCGTGCGTGCACCTGGCATCGCATCTTCAGCATTCTAAAGCTGGAGATGTGATTACCCATGATTTGACGTATTTGGACTTTGAATTTGGTTTACATGGCGATCGCATTTTGGACATTCTGCATGGCAGACTTCTACAAGACATCGCTTTGGAGGTGGGGTAGTTTTCTCTTTGCCATTTTGGGGAAGCTTCAAGCATTCAACTTGCCTTACAATCTGGCCATGTGTTAGAAAAAATGAATAATGCTTCACATAGCCTAAAACACTTTGAAATTGTGCGAAAACGGAAAGTCAACAATGACGCTGGATCACCTGTGGGCAGTCCCTCAGGCGCCTGCTGTGCTGCACAATTGGCTCTCCTGCTCATTATAGCCTTGCACACTTCCTTCTTCAGCACTGCGATCTCTTCTTTAGTTGCTATTCGGAAGTCCACGATGTTTCCAGCATGATCTTCCTTGAGAACTTTGATCAGCGAGAATTTCCTCCTGTTGGGCTTCTTCACTTCCTGAAATGCAGCATCCACACTGGTCAATCAACCACCCCGTCAAGCAACCATGCACAATCTGTACGAATGGAAGCGCCTGGGATTGACCAACAGGCGCATGGAGCGTGCCCCGTTACATTCTTGACAGATGCCATCAATGCAGACTTGCAACTGCTGATGCACCACAAAGCGCAATCGCTGTTGTCCAGAGCAATAGAGCCTTGGCTCGTGATATAGACACAATTGACCTGAGGGGCCCTTGCTGCAGAATTTGATGCTCAGTGGAATGCATGCAGCTTCCGCCCGGCTTAGCACAATGCCACCATATTAAGTCTCAAATAGCACGATGCGGCCAGGTGGGCCAATCTCCAATGCGTCGATGAATCTATAATCCCATATCCATGAACGTAGATCTCACACCCTGAACAGATTAATAATGTCATCAACACGCCTAAGGGAGGTGTGGAAAGAAATCTCAAGCCCACGGAAATTGTGGAAAGGAAAGACCACATGTGCGTGATGCACTGGCCACCATGCTAAGATCCAGCATTCAGGTGAATTTTGGAGACATGGACACTTCGGCAACTCTGAGCTGCCGAGGCACTGTGCTCAATTAGTGAAATGGAAGATGCACGATCCACAAATGGACACCTCCTTCATTAAACCCCATTTTCAGTCCTATTTCCTTCTTCTCGTTTCTGAAAATACGGACCAGTAGAATGCACTGAGGGTGCTGTTTTGTCCTGACCTTTGGCTGCGTTGTTTTGCCCACGACCTTTTTGGCTACGGGGCTCTCTTCTGCAGGCAGCCAGAATGGTTGTGTGTCAATGGAAGCGCTTGTTGCAGGGCCTGATAACTAATTGATGTTCTAGTTTTATTTACTCAACTTATCTGCACACAATAAACTTCTGGACGCATTTCTGCAGCTGAGCACTGCAGTTGACACTTGTTTTCTGCAATGGACCTCACATATTGGTGGCACCCGTTAATTCAAAGGGTGCACACAGCTAGCAAAAATGTACAATATGCTGCCATTTGCCACTGGTAATGGGGTGCACAAAATTTCCGGGATTCCAATTGTCATTCAGCATCGGCAAGAATCCACATGTCTCCCTTGACCATGTAAACATTGCAATGTGTCCCATTTCGAAAACGTCTGGGCAATGTCTTGCCAGGCTATTGCATGATAAAATCCAGGATGGATTTGGTTGACAGCAAAAGGCAAGCAGGATGCCAGGGCCACAGTGGATGACGTGCCAAGAGCAAAACCCCAAGACCCAAAGAATTGCCCATGGACCAGAGAGGCAGTAACAAGGACAAATTCATGCCCAGAGTTTGTTCGAGACCAGCCAATCATTTCTCTTCAGCCCAATGACGTGTGGCTTCATGTTTTGATAAGAATCTCAGCGGAATGTTGTGAGGCCAAAGCCATGACACAAAGCAACAAAGCAAGACCAATAGCCACAGGGAGAACATCTCCAGCACAAGGCGTTTGATCTGCGTCACTTGCAACACATGGCATCAACAGCGACAAACAAAGTGCATGACTTGAGCCCCATTTGAGGTAGTTTACACTGTTAACAGCTGTTTCTAATTAGGATTTTGGTTGATAAGATGCCCATGGCATACAATGAATAACTTGCCTAACATCAACATTGTCAGAATTGTGCAAATGGGGATTGTTACGTTGATTGCAAGCGAAAATCCTCAATCCACAATGAGCCACTCACTGAAAAAGTGGCAAAATTGAACAATTTTACCAATATGTTTATGGACATTTTCAACAGCTCATAGGCATCCCCAATCGGGCACCAGCCATTTCTTGCAGAGCATCAACTATTGATACTATCAGACACAGTCCTTATCACAAATCAGATGCCCAGTGGTAAGCTAGAATCAGTCGATCTCAAATTTCGTTTCTTGCATGGCAACACAACAACAAAGGCCAAGCTGCACCAATTGCTGCAGTTTCTGGCAAATGTCGAACCCATTGCCAGCATGCTCACTCCCTTTTGACAAAAAAGCTGACCAGACTTTCATCAGCTTGTGCATAGGTCCACGTTGGGGAAAGGTCGTTGACCATAATTGCAGTTGTAGTGTGTATACTGGTTCGAAACATGGCAACTTTGGGGGGCTGTATCTCCTGTATTCTTGCAAGGACACATACCTTTCTGGCGTTTGGCGTTCCTGGGAGTTGGCATCTCCTCTTTGTGTTCAGCAGGGTGTGGTGTGATGTCGTCGTTGATCTGAACAGGAGGGGGTGGAGATTGGCACCTTGTCACGTGGCAGCTGCCTGAAGCGGTGCCATCCCCAGTCTTTCGCCTCTTGAATATCGGAGGGGATACGGTTGGTAGGGATGACAGGGATCGAACCCGAGGCATAAAGTTGCACTGCGAAGCACACTGAAGAACGAACTTAAGAGAGGGAGAGAGAGAGCAACTGAGTGAGACAGTGAAAGGGGACAACATGAGGCTGTAAAGGAGTGAGAGACCAGGACAGCTGAAGAATTAGAGTGGTAGAAATTATGGAGACAAAAATAGACAGGGGAAGCATCCTGCATCAGTGATGCGATGTCAGGTGCACACCACCTGTTGTAGTGACGATTATCCCTTAAACTGAAGAAGGCACCGGTCAGCCAGGGGTGCCCCCTCCTGAGATAGGAACCTCGGCTATACTGTTGTGCAAAATGTAGATGATGATGCAAGCACCTCTGCGAGCATCAGCCAAGCGCAAACTGCAGATCGCACAGTGACTGATGCTGTCCATGGTATACCTGATGACTACAGTCAGATCTAGTCGACACAACACCAATAGCCATAAAAGGTGGGTGCTGCAAAAGCAGCAGTAGCTTCGAGGTACGGTGGTAAGTTCGCAGAGTAGCCAGAAAATTTGTAATTCGGCAATGTGCATTAATTCTGCATTCATGTATTTAATACTTTTGTGATTTTGCAATCTTCATGAACTATCCCTCGGACCCCTGGTCACAAAAGTTTTGGAGCCCTGCAAGCCCTGTCTGCACATCCTGGCCCTTTGGCAAAATGGCCTAGTGTGGTAGTGGGAACTCAGCTGCTAGTTTCCTGAGATGTCTTTATGCTGGTGCAAGGATTCATCAGACCAGCAGATTTCCTGGATTTTCAGTTTGATGAATATCCAGAGGGCATCATTAAAGTGTGTACAAAGGTCAGGCTGGGCGACGCATGACACATCACTATTCTGTTTGCTTATCACAAAAGGGTGTTAGATCTGTAAGGGTGAATGCATTCATTTGGGTTGGGTACGAAAGGGTGGGTGCTAGAATGGGCTGGAGGAGACGATGAGAAAGAACTGCAAATAATCTTTCTGGCAGTGAACATGTGCCAGCAACTGATCCTTATCTGCAGAGATTGTGAACATTTATTTGATCCCTGGCCATGGGAAAGCACCGTGGCAGCTGCACTTATGGTCAACGCCCTCTGCAACAGACTTACTTTGTCCACTTGCCAAGTGGGTTTCAGATCGAGGCCCCACATGTCTTGAAATTAACAGAGGCTCACACAGCAAACGTTTTATTTCCCAAAATGACAAGCAATTTCATGGAAGCGCACAGGAAGCAGGGAGGCTGCACAAGATGGAATGGCAAAACTTTCAGATTGCACGAGATATCCCGCCAGATTTGCAGGAACGTCATGTCCATTCGTCTTCATCTGCGTTTTCCCAAAGGTAACAGATCATGAACTACCAGGAGCCGTGGATTTGTTATTCCATCGTCTATTGACTGCTGTATTTCCCAAGCAACACGGACATCCAGTGGCTGTTAACTAATTCAAAATTATAGACTTTCCTGATTTGTTGATTGGCATAGTGGCAGCCAGCAGCGATGGGGCACACGACAGCACCAGGTTTCAAAGCCCACGAAGCCCTGTCGCACTGCCCCCCTTTCCTCTCCGCAGGCCTCGCCGAGGAAATCCCGCGCAAACGCACCATCAAGAGAATCTCCAAATCAAGGCGAGGCGCTCGAACGCACCCCAGGCGCGACCGTCCGTCTTCGCGCGGGGAAACTCGCTAGCCGCTTAAGGCCAGGGCTCCCGGCGGGGCGAAATCGCCAGGCGATCCCACCCAGCTTCTCCATCTGTTCCCTTCCTTCAGGTTTGATGTTTGCGGACGTCGTGACGCGCAAAAGGCAGATTCGCAAAAGGGGTCGCCGGCCACGGCGCGTGAGCCAGCCCGACAGACACCAAATCAGCGCACTGGTGGCCTTTATGGGGAGCCTAAAAAAATCTTGCTCTCTCTCTCTCTCTCCCCCCCGCCCCCCGACCTCTTATCCAGCTCTGCCGCTCCCCAGCGTTCAGATCAGCGCCAGATCAGCGTCCGCGCACCGCCCCCGCCCGCTTCGCACCCTCCCTCCGCCTTCCCGCCCAAAATGCGCCCAGGCCCAAAGGTCCCGCCCATTTTGCGTGGATGGTAAAGAGGATGTCCGACCGGGGATCGAACCGGGCACCTCTGATGGGATGTCCCACTGCTTTACCAAACCACTTGGCCGGGGCCAAGAAGCAGGCAGTCCAACCCCTTAAGCACCAATCCACCCAACACCCCCCCGCCCGCCACTCACCCCGAAGCCCGCTCCCCGCCCCCGCCTCCTCCAGAGCCGATCCAGCCCCCAGGCCCTCGATGCGCGATCCCCGATCGCCGAGTCGCCCCGCCGGACTTCCGCCCTAGCGCAAAGTCAGCCCGCCTTGGCGATGATCCAACCCGGCCGGCCAGGGCGCCTTGCACGAGCTCCTGGACGAGATCTTTGCGCGAGTTCTTCGGATTGGCGGTCGCTTTTTATCCCTGCGCGGAGATCGCCACCCTGATTGCGAGGCTTGGCGCTTGTGCTGCCCGAAGATCGCAAGTCGAGGGCCGGGGAGGGCTGGTCGCCTCGCGCTCCTGGCGGTGGCCACCTGCCTTCGCGAGCTTGGAGATCGGATCGCCGAGGAGACAGTGGGGATTTCAAATGCCGGTGGAGGCCAAAGGGCGGGGGAGCGGGGGGAATGGCGCTGTGGTGGGGGCTTTGCTGATCGCGTGCTGAGGGCGGGCAACAGGGCTAGAAGACCAGGCGTCGCTCTGGGCGCGCGCTTGATAGGAGTTTCGCGTTGGTCCCGTTTGTGTGTTTAGGGGTTTTCCGTGCGCAATATATGGGGTTTGCAAAATGTTGGGCTGATTGACTCCAAGCTTTTTCTTGGCCAGGCGGTAAAAAAAATGTAGGCAAGATGCCCAAAGGGGGTCCTCTGTGAGATATCTTGACAAAAGGGGTCCCTCTGTGGGGGTTGCAAATGACAAAAGGGGGTCCTCTGACCGCCCTCTGTACATTAGACGCGTTGCACATGGCACAGAGAGTGGAGCTCATGTGGTGAACCAGGGTGGTGGCAACGCTAGACACCTGCAACCGCAACGCCATCTGTTTGTCAAGGGCCATAGCCATTAGCAGCTGTTTGCTAAATGCCGGCAACGATTTCTCTCGATCAGCCATTCATGGCGAAGTCTTGGAGCGGGTTTGAGGGATGCCTTTGCGAACAAGCGTCCTGCTCAAGGACAGCAAGAGCCATTTCATGTTCAAGGGGCATTGTACGCTCTCCCATTGTAGAGATGTTGTATACAGGGAGAAGCTCACGGTGCCTTCAACATGAACATTCATTTGCTGAAGCCCAGGTCTTCCGTAGACCTTGCTGGGGATCGAATGATGTGGTTGTTGGTGTCCTCAAGTCCAATTGTGAGATGAAATGATAGATATGGATGTAGTGGTATCTGATGGAAAGATACATAAAATGTGTTAATTAGTCCTTATATCCCTGCCCAAACTTGCAATCTCCAAAAGCCAAACCCAAGTACCTCGTGTGTACGTTCAAGTACATTGGCAGTACTCAAAAATATTGCACGAAGGGAAATGTGTGCATCGCTTCGTCCATAGTGGGCGTTGCAGCTCTTTTCAAGGGGATGCCACAAACCTAAGCCCAGAGCTGTGTGGGGCTGAAACCAAAGGTCATCCTTGCCACTGAATCTAAAGGTGGAGGGTTGAGTGACCAAGCCCCAGCAGTTTCCTGTCACAGGAAAAGACAATTCAAAGACAACAATTCAAGAGCATCCAGATGTTCGCACCGCCATGGAATCATCACACAATATGGCGTTGTCCTTTGTTTGTGCTACCACAGCATTGTCAGCACAGGGGCTGTGAGATCGGCGGATCGGATTGGTGATTGCCTTTAGAATCTTGCACAGCTGCCTGTGCAGCATATCACCACCTGCAGACACCCTTTGGTTATCATCATCCTTGTATATATCCTCCTTATATATCCTATCTTCACAACAATTTCTCTCTGCGCACTGATGATCAGGTTCTTACGTTCCAGGACAAGCTTCACACAGTCTCGTGCGTTATCCTGCCTCAAAACTATTCTGTCACATAATGTAGGGAACTGAGCGACAAAACTACGGTCCTTGCACCTTCAAGGTGATGGCAGGCACTCTGTACACTCTGAAAGTTGTGCCCTGACCCCATACAACTGGTCCTAGTTCTGCAAGCTGTAGATCCTCACGCTCAGAACAGTTCCTAAGAAGTGTGCTCCAAAGACTATTGCTCCAGTCTTCATCCAGAAACTAGAGCAGTACAAGTCACAGTCCTGCAAGCTGAAGACCCTGGCGCAAAGTGCTCTTGGCAGCCATGTCCTTCAGGACTCGGCAGGAGAAAGAACTCAATGGTTTGCAAACTTGCTGACCTTGGCAGCTGCCATGTGCACAGCATGGTGCACCACTCCACAATGCAAACCCAAGGGGTAAAGAGCATGCACCCCTCGCAATTGCCATGCACTGTGCCCAATGGTGTCTTTGAGCCTTGGAACCAGCCAACAACCACCACAATGGCATTTCGATGGCCACAATGCAAGTGACTGGAGTGCTGTCATGCCAAGGGAACTATTCCTCAAGTATTCCTCACTCCTTGCATACATAAACAGCTTACCCTAGTGACCAGACAGAAGGTCAATCGTGTCATCAGGTTTGGATTGGATGGGAAGTTCTGCGTATGTGCATACTTGCACATGGAACAGGGCTGGACCCAATGCCTTAGTAATCTCAACCGCGATCAAAATCACTATACTTGCTGGCAAGAACTCTGCCACAATCCCCAAAATAGCCTCATCGTGAAAATGCCCTGAGTGCATTGTATCGCGTGAGTCATGCACCATAGCTCTTCACAGCCACTGGAACTGGCCAACAAGAGTAACATGGCAACAAAATTGTGACAAGGGGTGGTGGGCAGCCCACAAAAGAATCACGTTGGCCTCCCAGCCAATTGCAAGTGCCATAGGGGCACTGATTGAGCGATATCCGCCAGCTGAAGCAAAATAGCTTATCACCAGCTGGATTG